TGCTGCAGGAGGGAAGGTACAAGATGAAGCCCAAGCTCCCCTCCCAGCCCTGACAGTGCAGGTAGGTCACACCTCCCTCGCACTCCATGCTGATCAGGTTTCTAATGTGCCCTGAAGGACCAGCGCTAAAAATAAAACTTTATTTCTATTTCAGTCCTTGCACTGAGTTAATACCCTTGGCCCTTGCCAAGACTGTCAAAGGACTCACACAGTTGCTGTTCTTAGTAGACCTCATTAGGTTTACCCAGACAGGTTTAGGGCTTCCACCCCATCGCCCCCACTGTCTTGGACCCAGCCAGAGCTGCCCCACTTGCTCTTCCTCTCTTGTAAGAGTGCAGCAAGTGCTGACTTTCACAGAAATCCTTCTGCTTCTTAGGATTTAATGACTTGTTATGCAAAACAAAAACAAAAAAGTCGGAGACTAAGCCTTTGAAAGGGAAGTGAGAAGGTCTCCTGAATGTTAAGCATTGTTTTGAATCAACATGTTTTCTGTAAGTCTAAAGCAGGTAACAAGAAGCCAATAAACAACCCATAAATCAAAACAAATTTGAACTTCCCGGCAAATATCTCTGATTTTACAGTAAACTGTCAAATCTGCAAGATGTCATTTCTGCCTTGCTCCATTACAGCCAGCTACTGTTTGTGTAGGTGCTAGGAATCCTTTTTAGTAAGTGTTCAGATCTTATTCCTTTTAATATTTTTGCACAACTTTCAGGAAAGCAGAGGAAACCAACATTCAAGTCTGAGATTTCTGTGTACCGTCTTTAAGCTGATTACCACTCATTAATTAACACAGGCTAAGACAAATGGATGCATGATCATATACTTAGAGGGTTTCAAAATCCAGTGTTGGTTTCATGCTATTACTCCGTGTTCAAAGAAGGATGCTCCGTCACACAAATGGGTGGACATCACTTCCACTGAAGAACAGAACACCTCTCTCCATATGAATTCCTCTTTTCCCTTCTTTCCCCATTGATCCTCATCTCCCATCTTTGAGCTGCAAGAACTGACAGGCTCCATAACCAAACTTGTGAGCCTCCCAGAAGGCACCTTCTGATGGACCAGCTGGAAGGCAGATGGTTCTCCTGTTTTGTCTGGGCAGCCAGCAGATGGGAAGCACACAGATCTCCAGAAAGCAGTACACGCTGTCTCTCAGCTTCAGCAGGCCAGAAGAGCTTCCTGTTGCCTTATCCTTATTCCAGACTCTGTTTGCACACTTTCATTGTGCATTTATTTCCTGCGTGGGATACCTATTAAATTACCTTTATGTGCTTTCCTTCCCTTAAGCTCATTCCTGCAGCTGATTCTGCACAACAATCTGGTTTTCCTCACAATGTTCACAGCAGTTTAGGATTTCTTCAGTTCCTCACAAGTATTGATACCACTAGGAAAATATCTGACACACGCATTCCTTTGTAGTATATGAATAAGCAGTTCCAGAAGTAAGTATTTGAGACATATTTGCAAGAATGTAACTTTTTACTCAAAGTTCTATACTCAGATTAAGAGCTAGAAACACTAAATAAATTACACAGTTAACAAAACACTATTTAATGTAAGGAAACTGAGAAAGACAATGGCTGAAGCAATCTCAATAACATGTTACCATAGCTGTTCACCCTAGAGTGCAGAGAGGCACCAAGAAGGCTGCTAGACTAATCTGTGGGTTGATCTCTGGTTGATCCCCTTTTCTCTAGGGGAAGCACACAATCTAAACCAAACTTGAATGTAACAGAAGCACAGACCAAGGAATCAAAATTTGTCTTTAAAAGCACTGGCAGCCATCTCCCAAAACTTCTCACAGTCAGAGATGCTGGAGCATTGTCTGACAGCCACATCAGACAAGTACCACTCTTAGTCCAAACACAACTGATGCCTACTATGAATGCATCTCCTTGCTGATTGCTGCTGTTGCTCATATTCTCTTATTTTAATTTTTCTCACACTGCTCAGCCATGAGTTATGCTTCCCTCTTCCTGATGGGAAAAGCAACTGCTAGCACAACACTTGAAGAGGACAAGGAGATGTCACAAACAGTTACAGAAGCCATCATCAGGTTGGTAAGAAGCACTGCCTGTATTGTGTACATGGGGCTGACAAGCCAAATCCACCCCCTTCTCTGGAAAAGAGATCCAGCTTCACAATTTGGGGTTCTTTACTACTAAGGTACCTTGCTACTCACAACATGAAAGAAATGAAACAGAACCACAGCAGATTCTCTACTGTCACTGGCTTTCTGCTATTCTCACTTTCCCCTTTGCCACTCTATGCTTCCCCACCTTCCAAAAGCAATTTACATTCAGCATAATCCAACTGCAACGTTTATTTTTTAAAAAATAACATGATCTGTCACCACCTCTTGATTTAAGAACATGATTTGTACAAAAGGCCCTCAAGAGGAGACACTTCTCCAATTCACTCATTCCCAATTCTCTGCAAGCTTTGCTGAAAGTCAGATCACTTTCCTGCTCTACCTGGCATTAGTTATTAATCAGTTTATTGCACTGTGCTTAGCAAGGTTATCTGCACAATGACTTCTATTTAGAGCTGATGCTTCCTACATAAAGGATATAGAAGCCTTAAAGCCCCAACTGTGTTCTTTAGCAAACAGTCATGCATTGTTGTTTCTTTGCTGCCTAGAAGCACAGTCTTAGTAAGACATGGCCACAGGGAAGCCAGAGGTTTGGAAAGGTTGAAACACCCATGTTTCTCAGTGAAAGGGCAAGGCATGAAGGTATTCATACTTTCTGTAAAATTACCCACCAGAATACATTAAAATTGTGTTTTAGATGTAAAGAGAATATTTCTGTGCAAAGTTTCTGTGGCTTGGCAATTACAAACTCTTCTCACTGACTGCGAAAGAGAAGTTGCTTTCATCCACCTTGAGTGATTCTTTTAAAGGATGTATTTCACACTGACTGCAATGCTGATGCAATGAACAATGACTAAAAGTCCCTTAAGAACCTTCCTAAGTGTAACAGAAATCAGAATTTACCTGCTTCTGCATCAAGGAAATTCCAAACTATCCTAATACACTGGACTAAAAGGACAGCAGTTTAGATATGCCCTTATGTAATTTCAAGTGGATTCACTGTGAAATGTAGTTGTTACATGATGTAACTTAAATGCTAATATATAAGTATATACAGATTAAACACTCCAAAACTGTCAGAATTGGACAAAGCTTTTACAGGATGAAAAAGGTAAAATGGTGGAGTTCTAAACACAGAGTGGAAGATCATTAGTACCCACTCAGCTGCAC